ACTACGTAGTATCTGTCTATTATTGAATTGTATTTGATATCAATTATTCACCATTTAATTTCTTTCCTTTTTCCTCATTAATTTAATGAGTAAAATATGCATTACATGGAATGCAAAATACGTGGCTTGAAAATTTATTAGATGTGGTACTCAATAGCAATATTGAACTTTTTTGAATACGGCTTCAAATCTTGTACTCAATAGCAATATTTAATTGTACTCAATAGCAAATTATTGACAAATCAATTTCAATTTGAAGGTTCTACTTTATTATTAAGTAAGTAGATGATTAATTTGTCACTTAAGATTGTTAATTGTTTCCTAAAATGGAAATGAGAACCTTTATATGGGACGTCCAAAAAAGGAAAGTGGGAACTTTCTAATGGGACGGAGGGAGTATAAGTTTATATGATTGTTATTGAATTGATTAAGTAGGAATAAGTAAAAATTATGTAAAATCACACAAACTTTAACAAATTCGATATGAGACAATCTTAGTGAGACAGAAAAACATAAATACGTAGTATGAAACAATTTTAGCGGGACAGTGGGAATACTTTTTAGGCTATGTTTGGCGGGCATAAGTCACTGCCTTCCAGCTTTTGTACTATTTAAAAACTCTTTAAAAGCTTCTAGTTGTATGTTTGACATGCCAATTTTTAAGAGCTTTTATAAAAATAAAAGATCTTTTTTGAGATGCTACCGTGAGTAGTATCTCAGATAAGTTGGTAGCTTCTGGCTAATTGGTCCCAATAGCTTGTATACCAAATAGAGTTTAATTAAACAGTCAGTTTTTTATCAAACAACTACTACTTTTTTCTTTAAAAATCTTTTCAGTCACTAAAAACTAACAGTTACTAAAAAGCACATAAAAATTTCTTTTCAGCTTGTTGTGACAAAGATATTCAGTCAACAATGAATCGAAACTTCTGACCTTACACTTGTGATTAGGAAAACAATTTGCATATCCTTTACTCTTATTTGGGGAAATTCACTTAAAGATGATCAGGTATCTATTTTTAGTTCTCTTATACTTCTCACATCAATATATTGGAGACATCTCAACACTAACATGCGGAAAGATTATACGGAGCACTTTTTGTTATAACTATGGTAAGAATGAAATTACAGTTGACATTCTTATACTTTTTTTTTTTTGAAAATAGTTGACATTCTTATACTTAAATACCTAGAAAACGATTTGTATTAAAAACAGCAATTTAAAATGTTTTGTAAATTAAGCAGAGATAACATTGACATTACCGTTGTCACAAATGCTAGCTAGTTTTAATATTAGTTCTTCGCAACTTCACATTTTATGGTTGATAGTTGATAATTGATAAGTCTGATAAACGGCCTCTTATTCGCATCAATGATTTCTTCACTTTCTAAATCTCTATGAGAGTTTGCATATTGTGCCATACGACAACAAAGATTTGTTAAAAACTTGGGTATTGTGCCATACGATACTTCGTCTAAATCGTGCCATCATTCAATTTTTTTTCATTGGTCCGTTTTTTTTATGCAGTCGTAATTGTCATTTTTTATAATCGTGTCATCACGATTCATCAGGGGTCTCACATCATGCATGGATCGATTTGGCTTTGATATCATGTTAAGACACGGGGTTCCATCTTAAAAGGTCAACCTGTTAGGAGGAGTAGCTCATGTGTTAATATAACACTTGTTCATCCAAACTTTTTCGATGTGAGACAGAATCCCTTAAATAATAAGCGTAATTTTTTCTAGAGTACCCAGATATCATAGATAGATTTGAAAAGAATGACAAAGTAAACTCATCCGCATCTTTTATTTACGAGTTCACTTTATGGAAAGTGCTATTTGTTTTATAATATGTAAATGGTGGCTATTAACTTTATGTGTGCTAATTTAAAAGGCTATATCACTATTTCTCCCTATATATATATATATATATATATATATATATATATATATATATATATATATATATATATATATATATAGATTTAGGATCATGTGAGAACTTGATCTTAGGAGAGTAAAAAAGAATAAATCATAGCCATTAGATTAACATTCTTTCTCAAACTACCGTGAACATATGTAAAAGGCCTTTTTGTCATTTCATCTATGTATTAATTATGCATTAATTGCCTTCAAAACTAAGCTACGGAATTGTGTTGGCACTACTTTGACCATTTGGTGTTACATTAATTACTCCCTTTTCACTTTTTATTTATCTATTAATCATTTCATTCTTTTTTTATGGTTTCTCTCCTTTATTTTTTAACGTGTTACTATGAGATTATACTAATATTGTTCTTATTTTTCTCCTTCTATGGAACTACTCTCTTTTTGCCTAATGGTAATTAATAAGTAGTAATTTTTAGAAAATATATTGTTTTACTTTGTGACAATATATTTCTTTAATTTTATTTTCTTCAACTCTATAATAATGTTTTGCTCGCTAATTTGTTTCCAACGTTGACAATATATGTAATAAATTGTGCACTTTTGATATTTTTAGCGTGCAAGTTGTGATATTTTCATGACTCATATATCGATTTACATGTCACATATTTTGAATTTGATCTTTATCATATTTTTATTGTTCAAATTATGCACATTTGAGAACATAATTAAGAAGCACATACCATGACTATGTCCAACATGTTTGGGAATATAAAATAATTATCAAACTATTATTCATTAATATATACGAACTTGAAAATTAATATGTATAAGGTGCATGGTGCACTCAATTAATGTTTTCAATGCAAATGCATAAAAGTGCATAATTAACTATAGTAAAATATACTACGTATACATAAGTGCACTTTATTAAACATTTAGAGTGCATGGTATTGATTTTTCAAGTGCATGGTATTGAATTGTTTTTATGATGCACCTCTAAAGTGTAAGATGTGCATGCATATCACTTTTATTAACTTGTGTATAAAGTTTGATTATGCAACTTAAAAGTTCAAAAATTTAACATTGCATATAAAGTGCATATGATTTAAGTAAAAATTTATCAACTTAACAAATAAAATATTATAGCTAGGGACTATAAAGTTCATTTTTAATTATTGCACTTGTAAGTGCATAAGAAATTAACTAAACGTGCAATTACATAATTAGTAATTACATGTTCATCTCTACTGCACTTGTACGCAAGCATACTGCACATAATTTAAACCTATAAACTAAATCTTCCAACCTATTTTTTTTTTTACAAAATAAATGGAATTTAAGTTATAAATATAATGAAAACCGATTGGTTCAAAAAATGGAAAACCAATCATCATAGATATACGCACCAATAAGCTATTTAATTAAGAGCATGGCTCTTTTACAAATATCTCCCTAACGGAAGTTTCCATTAGAATAGTATTACTCAACATTAAATGCTTTCCATTAATGACACTAAGAATGACTTATATGTGTCTATATTTATGTTTGTCCGATTGATTATATGGATGACTAGATTTCATTCTTTTTTCCTCTCCTAAGAGAGTGTTCTCACAGGAACTAACCCCATATATATATATATATAGGGGAAAGATCAAGTACAAAGTGTGCTTATTGTGCAAATATTTGTACGATGCACCTTAACGTTATTTGCATTGCATATTGATGTTCAAAGTATTGCACATTATAAAGTCATAAAAATAAGAGTTGCACATTAAGGTGCAACGAGTTGCACCCTAAAAAGTTGGGTTTTATTACAAAAATGCCACCTTGCTTTTATGTCCTTTGGATCAACTCATCGGACGGTCAAGGTGAGTTCAAACGTTTCCAAACGTTTGAACTATATAAAGTTTTATGTAACATGTAAGAGGAGGAGAATGAACGTAACATTCCTAATCAATCTATTATTTGCGGCTCTAAATGATTTCCATGCATTCAATACGGAATGTAATATATGCATGGTCAATCTATTATTTTGAACTCTAACTGATTTTCATACATTTAGGTATGGAACGTAATATATGTAGAGATATTACACGAAATAGACTAAAAAAGTTTGAAAATTCCAAAATAGAACTTCTATGTTTTTATTCCCAAAATATGACTAATTACTGTCATGTTTTGGCAGTACCAAACTTCAAACATGGCAGTATTTTCCAAACTTGACAGTAATTACTTCTATTTTGGGAATAAAAAACATGACAATCCTATTTTGGAATTTTCAAACTGTTTTAGTCCTATTTCGGGAATTTTCCCATATATGTATGGTCAATCTATTTTTTATGAGAAAAATAATTCAAATACCCCAAATTTTGAAGGGATGTGAGGTAAATATCTCAAATTTGTATATGTAATTCAAATATTTCAAACTTTACATAAAAAGTAGTTATTTTTACATGTATTTAGGCTAAATGTACCTCGTGTTAGGCTAAATGTACCTTGTGTTGATAGAAAATGTAACTTACATGTATGCAAAATGTAACTTAGGATGTTTTCTTTTGGACTGTTTTCAGTCCCAGACCAGACAAGACCAGACTTAAACAGACCAGACCAGACCAGACTTAAACAGACCAGACCAGACCAGACCAGACCAGACTTAAACAGACCAGACTAGACCATACCAGACTTCCGTAGTTATAAAATACACAGAGACCAGACATTTACCAGACCAGACCAGACCAGTTCAGACCAGACCAGACCAGACTTAAACAGACCAGACCAGACCAGACCAGACTTAAACAGACCAGACCAGACCAGACCAGACCAGCAAATTTCAGTCCAAAAGAAAACATCTTTACACTGATATAACTCACTTATAAAATGATGTAACTTGCGCATAAAATGATGTAACTCACGCATAAAAAGATGTAACTCGGACACAAGAAGATGTAATTTCTTATATTATCAAATCTAACTTTAGACAAATTCTGATGTAAGTACATGTATTTTCAAATGTAATTTAAACCAAATCAATTTATAAATTGTCTAAACTCCCCTTCGTATAATGTTGGTCCCAATTTCTACTCTATAATGTATAAGATCTGATTAATAGGAGTAGAAGAAGCTTTCCATTGATAGCCAGAAAGTTTACATAAAGATGAAGAACATGTAGCGTAAAACTTCCGTAGGCTCTATTCTATGCGCAGGGAATATTTCTGAGGGAGGAAAGCTTAACCTAGCCATTCCTAAGGGGTCTATTTATAGCCTCCTTAGAATGGTAGGTTTTACAATCATATGGGCTCTCCTTTTTAGGAGGCCCATTCCTAATTTAGCTTAGTAGCCTTTTCCATTTAAGGCCTATTAAATACACAATAAATACTACCAAGAGGCTAGATAAAACATTGATCACAATACATGAAAATATCTCTAACAATCTCCCCCTTTGTGATCAGATGTTCTTTGTCAGCTCTTGTGGATCCTTCTGCCTCTTGTAGTAGTTGCTTTGCAGTGCTAGAGCATGTTCATATTGGCGGAGCATTCTCCTCTTTTCGAGTCGAGCGTTGATTGCGTCTAGCACCGCCTTCATTCGGTCAAATTCTTTCAATTTCTTCTTTCTTTGGTCTCAACTTCTTTTATCTTCTTGGAAAGGCTTCATGAAAAAATCCTTACAATCTCCCCCTTGGTGTTATTTATTCAATTTGTTCTTTGATGCCGGGAGTTGAGGGATTCTTCAAAATCTTGCTTTTAATCCTTGCTTTCCAGAAACTGCTCTTGATCAGCTTGAATGAAGTCATATGGCGCCTCTAGAATGAATGTTCTGAAGAGATCTAGGTGCACAAGGGATTCATCTTCAATATTTGATCATCCGACCTCTGTATCCTCCAGAATGTAGCCTTTTCTGACTGTTTGATCATGAATGCTTTTGAGGAACAGTTGTCGGTGGCACAGCGGAAAATGATGGTTGACTTGTGAGCATGGATGACCTTTAGATTTGAAGCTGACTTGGCAGTTGATGAACATGAGAGAGTAGAGAGCCATTGTTTTTGAGCTGGAGGAGAGAAGTGTCCGAGAATGATTTTTGAGAGTAAACAGCGTGTGGACCACTCTCCCCCTTTATGACAATCCAATGAATCGAGATGTCTTGCCTTTATTCTTTTATTCTGGAAAATTGAAAATGCAAAAAAAATGAAAAGATAAGAATCGGAGACACTGTGGTGTTCCGTTGACACAACATCAGTGTAAACATTGATGTGTGGCCTGTATATAATGATAGAAACGTTGTAACTCTAACAGGACTTCCAACCAATCATTGTGAAACATCTGAAGTAGATGTCACTCTGGTTGTTATGGCATGATCACTAGGATCAGCATGGATAATTGTAGCCCCCCGGGATCGTGTAGACACCCGTTATCATCACTATAGAGATGAACTCTAAATGATGGCCTGAAAATGTTGGTGATTTCTATGTTGCAACATCAGGACTTCCTTCCAATCATCGGTCCACATCTATATTAGATGAGCCCTATGGAAGTTCTCGCATGGTCACTTGGACCTGCAACTGACTCTAAAAATGTGTCTGTGTCCTAGAAAATTCTAAACATTTAGGGTGAGATAACTAGACACGACGTGATCAATGAAAGTTCAATGGCATGGGGCTGAGGGCCACTGTAGTTACTATCAGTCGCCTCAGAAGGAGACGGTGATAAGAGATGAGGTTCCCCGTGAATAGTGATTAAACACCTGTCTGTTGGGAGACAGATGAGTGGTCTAGGGTAGGGTTGTGCACGCGCCGTTTGGACAAAATGCAGCGACTTCTACCCGGGATCTGAATAAATTCAGTCCTGAACCTATGGGGATTGTCCGGAGTATTTGAGTGACTGGGATTGATTCCTCGATTGATAGCTCATTTGAGGTAGCAGATTTGTCATTGATTATTGTCTTCTTGCTCATCGGAGCCTTCTGCTTCCTCACTCTCATAATATTCACTCAGTTACTCACTCACTCTCGGCTTTGTCCCTTGGGTAGGCTTAGTTGGGTTTACTAAGCCATTAGGACATCTCTCTCATTGATATGTTTCTTTATTCTCTCTCTGTACTCCCCCTCAACTGGAGCACTGAGTAGGATGCCTTTGACGATGTTTGGCGCTTGGGAGGAGAACTTTGAAAACTCCCCCTTAAAATTTGCATCCTTGAGAGAATTTTTGCATTTAATCTAGGTTGGTTTTTGGGTTTTGGGTTGGCTAGATGATTGGGGTTGTTGGTTGTTAGAGGATTCAGGTTGTGGTTATTGGCTAGTTGACGCAACATGCTCAAGTGTCCGTTGCCTCTTATTCTCCCCCTCATGAGGAGCCGAATCATTGGAGTCCTCATGCAAATGTTTGTGACCGCGGAGACTGTCATGACATGTGCTTTCAGTTTCAGGTACTACAAAAAGAGCTCTTTGTTTGTCAGTAAGTGGAGCTTCTTCGTTTTCAAGAATTCTCGCTAGCATAATGGATGCTAGGTCATCGAATGGCATTGTAAATGGGATAGGATAAGGATTGGGGTGAGTTGCTGTTGGGAGTGGGAGGATGAGGGTTGAGTTAGGGTTTGATGATGTCATTAAGAAGCGCCGGGGTGGTCCTGAATTCCTATGCCCGAGCGGTTATTGCTTCGTGCACCCATGGTTTAATGGTGGAATCCAAGCAACGCTGCTAAATGACTGCAAGGTCGGTAGGGTTAGGGTTGTCCGGTTACAGGGGTAGTAACCGTTGTCACAACATCAGTAAAGTTTACTGGTGTGTGGCCTGCAGATAATAATTGAGTTATCTGTTGAGCGGCAGGACTTCCGATCATCATCGAAGTATCTCCGATCGTTGTTGACAGGGAAAGTGGACCTGTAGAGTGTGGTGGTGTGAAAAGTGTATGTGTCCTAGCAAATTTGAAAATGTAGGGAGTGTGACACCTAGACTCAATGTGATTGAAGAAGGGGTAGTGGCCCGGGGTGATAGACCACTATGTACATCCTTAACTGCTCCGTAAGGGGGCAGAGAGGTGGGTATAAGATCCCCTATTTGTGAAACTACTACCTGTTGGGAGGCAGCAGAGTGGCTAGGTGTGGCTTGTGCATGCGCAGTTGGACTAGATGCTGCGTCTTCTACTCGGAAACTGAGAAAGTCAGCTTCTGCTCCTATGGGGTCAGTCCGGTTTACTACATCTAGGTTTGTACACTCGTCAAACATGGCTAATTCTTTGGTCAGGCTGCTTGCGGTTTGTATTCTCTGTGTAGGAGTGAATGATGAGGAAGTATGTCATTTTGATGCTTGGAGCGCGTCTCACTTATGATATCTCCTTCTTTGTTTGTTCGTGAGTAAGACGCCTCTATTTCTGTTTCCGTGGGGAGCCTGATAATGAGTCGGCATTTTTGTACCGGAGGCTCCCTGGCTTGATTAGCGTTGTCGTCCGCATCATCATTAATCTCATCATCCTTGTTGACTTGTTGCGCTTGTTAGCCTTGCTACCGGAGCCCTCATCGTCAGCGTTTATTGTTCTGGCTACGCTTGGCGAATCATGGGAAATCTCCTCAGCAACTTGGGGTTGGCCCTCAGCAGACGTAGTCTGATCATCATGGGGCCGGCTTGCCACTGGTCTCTGTGGTCGGGTTGAACTCTCAGGACCCTCACTTACTCTCGGCTGACTCCCCGGGGTAGGCTCAGGGGGGGGGGGTTATCTGAGCCATAGGGAGTGTGATGTTGTTCTCCTCGCTGTAGCATATAACGTGTGGATCGTTGAGGCCAGCTAACAGCAGGAGAGGAACATGAATAGGAAGAGGTATAGTGCTTACCTCTGGCATCTTCTTCAGATATTGAAGTGCTGGAGTGCTGACATTCTCAGAGGATTTGCGTTTTTGAATTGTTGGAGTTGATCATTGCTCATTCGATCTTGTCTCATCTCCCTGTCTTCCTTCTTCAGAAGATGATTGAGCTTCTTTGTCTTCAGTTGCTTTCAGATCAAGCTGCCCCCTAGCGTCCCTGTCGTTCATAATGTAGCACTTGTAGCCGAAGACGCAGATGAAGACAATGTTAGGGAGACCCTTGAACACAATCTCATAGGGCATCTTGTCGGATCATTTGTGAATCACCGTCCAGTTCTGTGTGAAGCAAGCCGTGTTGATAGCTTCAGCCCACATGAAATGAGGAAGCTTTTGACTGTATTAGCATGGTTCTGGCTGCTTCCACCAAGATCCTGTTCAATCATTCTACGACACCTTTTTGCTTTGGTGTTTCAGCTACAGAGAACTGTTGTGTAAATCCCTGAGCTTCGTAGAACCCAGTTAACTCATTGTTCTTGAACTCCGTCCCATTATCAATTCTAGTGTTTGGAGCATTTGATGCATGAACTCTTTGGTGTTGGTCACCTTGGTGTTGTCAATGGTGGGTTTCAGAATTCTCGCACCAGAGGCATCTCTTGCTTAGTTGAGTGTTCCCCAGAATTGTTGGAGATACACCCTTGCTTCGGCAATTTTTGTTTAGGACCTTCTAGATTTTGCGGCCTTTGAGAACAACCACCACGACATCCTTGAGTTGTCTTGATTGCTACTGGTTCTGCCATAACGTCCGTGGGTTGTCTTGCATTGATCCTTGATTTGCGTCAGGAGGAGAAAATTGTAACTCCCCTTCAGAATGTGCAAGGTGTTGTTTGTCACCCGGGGGAGTAAAGTAGAAAACTCCCCCTTGATATGTGCTTTCTTCTTGTAAGGCACCAGGAGGAGTGAAAAATAAACACTCCCCCTCAGAATAAGCACTTGTTGTTTCTTCTTGGCATGTGTTGGTGTTGAGGTGTGCATTTGTTGATTTTCTGCTCAGTGGGGTAGTATACATGCCAATACTCCCCTTAATAATGTGCACCAGTTGATTGCTCACAGCTTGTCATATCCGCCATGTGTGTGGAGCAATCGAATCAGGTACCACACATGACGGACCTGCAAAACAGATTAAGTGTGTTTTGGTACCCACCTCCAGATGGGTCCATCCTTATTAGTGGTGAAGAGCTGTTTTAATTTTTGTTTGATGTTGGAACCTAAGCCAGCTGATTGAGAAGGATTTGACGTTCTTAGTTTCTCAGCTTTGGCCTTAGGAACCCATTGTTGTTTGAACTTTGGAGCGAGAGAGATTTCGTTAACAGTGAGTGAATGTTCAGACAGATGATCTTTTAAAATTGTTTCCTGAGAGAGCCTTCTCAAATGTTTAAGTGAGCGAACCTTGAGGGGATACCTTAAACACGGCAATTTGTACTCTCCCTCAAAGTTCACCTTCACAGCAGTTGATTTCTTTGGGCATCTCTGAACATTCACATTCTTATCTTTGTTGGAGGAGAGATCAGACTCAAAACAACATTTCATGGATTTAATGCAATTCAGAGAAGCACAACTAGAACAGTGATTCGTGACAGATGTCTTAGAACTAGAAAACTTAGGAGCCACTCTTTTAGCATTACTAGTCGAGGATTCGCTTAGGAAATTCCTAGGAACACCACTTCTAGTATTACTAGTTGAAAGCTCACTAATGCCAGATCTAGACTTATTCTTTACGTAAAACAAAGCACTCGAACGTCGATTCTTATTTCCTAGATGAGATTCTTCTTCTTTCTTCCTCCTTCTTAACTTCTCCTCGATCCACTCTCCTCTCTTCTCAACTCTCTTCTTCACATGGTTTCCGGTCTGAGAAGGAGGCTCAGAGTGAGTGGAAGAAGTTTTAGAACTGTTGGTTGAATTTTCTAAACATTTTTCTGAGAAAGAGAGGGAAGAAGGTTGAGAAACTGTGATGGACTGAGAGGATGTTTTTAACATGGATATCTCTTTCAAAAGTTGATCTTTTTCTTTTTCTAAAACTTGTTTCTCCTTTTCAAAAGATTCTTTTAACTCAGCAAACTTTCTCACAAGAGGTGGAATGTATGCTGGTTTGACTACAGGTTCTGAAGTTGAAGGTTCCTCTCCATCTTGCACAGTTTCCTTTTCAGGAGCATAAGTTATGACTTCATCAGCAGGTGTTAGCGGGGGTTCTTTGGTTTTGTAACTCTTGTTCAACTCTGTGTAGTCAAAAGGAACCTCGACACCAGCCTTTGTCTTTCTCTTTTCGTCCTCGAGGGCATTCGTTTCTTCAGCTCCAGTGAAGGCCATGAGTTTGGTCAATCCTATTTTCATGTATCTAACATCATAGAGTTGTCTACAGTTGACCTTTTTCAGGTTCTGAGGATTGGTCAAACCCAGACCCTCCTTGGCGTTATAGAAACGAGTGTCCTTAGGCTGGTTAAGGAAAATAGTCTGGTCTGTTTGGTCCCTCTTGGCTAACAGGTCTTCGAGTTCTTTAATTTTAGTGTAAAGAGCACCCCTTCTTTCCATAAGTAAATTATTGACACCAAAAAGTCTAATTCTCTCTTTCTCAGTTGTTCTAAGCTTCTCTGTCAGTTCGTTCTCGCTAGTGCTAAGTCTTTTATTCTCAGCAGTGAGCTTAGTGATGATTTTCTCTGAATTGATACGTTGTCTGTTATACACACTAAATCCCGTATTAAATTTTTCCTCAAGCTCCTTAATTCTATCGTGTGGGTCAGTTCTAGAGCAAGTATAAGCAAAAGGATTAGAAGTGCTTACAGCGCTGTCTGCATTCTTGTTTTTAACAGAGAGGGCAGTCACTTTATCAGCAGCGGTTGGGGCAGTCATGATTGATTGTTGAATGTTGATCGTTGACGTGTGGTTGATTGAAGTTTTTCTGCAGGTTAGTGGCTCTTGAAAATGTAGCTTTGACTTTGAGAAAAATTAGTCTTAACCTTGAGATTTTTGACTTTTTTTTTTTTGATTTTTTTTTTAATTAATTTTTTTTTTTTTATCTCAAGGTTGACTATTTGAAGCTTTGACAAAGTGTAGACCTTTGGTTTTAGAGTTTGACCACAAGGTTTGAATTGGGCTCAAAATTAGCTCTTGAAGTGGGTAAGTGCAAAAAGTGTACTCTTCCAAGGGAAGGGAAAAGTAAGCTTGTTAACTTATCCCACACCTAAACTCAAAGAGACTTTTGGAGCCTATATATATGGAGCACTCCTTCCTTAAGATTAAATGGTGAAGGAAAAGAGAGGAGCTCTCGCGCACATGGGATTTCGGCTTGTAGTTCAAAAGCGAAAATTCGCACCCCCCCTGCGCGGGGCGACCTGCGGACACGATAGCCGTAAAATTCCGCAGGTCACAAAAGACAATTTTGCCTCTCCTTCCTTTGCATTTTTTTTTTTTTTTAAATTATTAAATTTGCTCCCGGGTGGTACTAAGTTCGCGCAAGTAAAGAATCGCGCAACAACACCTGATCGCGCAACAGAGTAAGATCAAACAAATCGCGCGACGACTAAGATCGCGCAAGTCTGATTCGCACCTGGATCGCGCAACAACAAAGAAAATCTCGCAACTGGAGAATCGCGCAGGTCATTTAGCTACAGAAGATCGCGAATCGCGCAGGTCATTTAGCTACAGAAGATCGCGCAAGTCCTGTTTTTGCGCAACTAAACTTCGCTCGTCTTCGCGCAAGGAGTAGATCGAGCAGGAGTTTGCTCAAAGCCAAACCGCTCAGGAGGCCCCCTTTTTTTTGTTCAACCTGTTAATCGCGCAACTTTGTTTTCCCGCACCACAAATGGTTTTGTGCAACGCTGAAGATCGCTCAGTGTTGATCGCTCAAGTCTCCAAATCGCTAAAGTAGAATTGCGCGATTTTTCAGGATCGCTCAACTCCTGAAAAAGATGCGCGAAGATGCAGGATCGCTCAACTCCTGCTTAACCTGTACGCCAAAGTTCTGGATGCGATTTTTCACAGAATGAATCCTTGCAATCCTAGAAACACTTTCCTGTAAACATTTTCCTGCAAAAATAACAACAAAAATAGAACAGAAGATCGCTCAACAAGCAAAAACTTCGTCGATGAGTTTCGCGCAAGAGTTTTCTTCTCTCTTCAATCGATCGATAAATTTGCAGAAACTTCAATCGGTCACACGCTCGGCTCTGATACCAATTGTTAGTCCCTATTTCTACTCTATAATGTATAAGATCTGATTAATAGGAGTAGAAGAAGCTTTCCATTGATAGCCAGAAAGTTTACACAAAGATGGTGAACATGTAGCGTAAAACTTCCGTAGGCTTCTAGTCTATGCGCAGGGAAATTTTCTAAGGGAGGAAAGCTTAACCTAGCCATTCCTAAGGGGTCTATTTATAGCCTCCTTAGAATGGTAGGTTTTACAATCATATGGGCTCTCCTTTTTAGGAGGCCCATTCCTAATTTAGCTTAGTAGCCTTTTCCATTTAAGGCCTATTAAATACACAATAAATACTACCAAGAGGCTAGATAAAACATTGATCACAATACATGAAAATATCTCTAACATATAAGTATAACTGTATGAAAGGAAGAAGACGAAGATGGTTGCGCGAGAATAACGCCCGAGCTAATTAATCTGATACCATGATGGAATGATAATCGTATATTAGGGGAAAAATATTTCCTTGCCTCTATTAACACATTACAAGAGTATTTATACAGGTATGTGTAGGGCTGGTTCGGTATGGCATACCGAAAAATTTGTGCCATACCGTATACCGTACCGAAATACCGGTATATGAAAATGGCATACCGTTGCCGTACCGAAATTTCGGTATACCGAACCTTCGGTATACCGAAATTTCGGTAACCCCAAATGGCATATTGATGCCGTACCGAATATTCGGTATATTCGGTATACCGAAATTCAAGCAATGTATCAGTATACCGAAAATCTAATTACATGTCACACTAAAATCTTGCATAAATTCGAAAATGATTAACAAAAACCTGCAATAAATACCAATTTTAAAGCACAAAATATGATAAACTTACAATCATGTTCAACCCTATTCAAGAATCAAGGGCTCAAGGGATTAAGGCAATGCAAATTTAAAATGTTCAATTCTGACAAAAAATCAGTTCAAGTACATATTTAAATGCAATTATAGCATATAATTCATTAAAGCAATATAGATGAAGCAGCTCCAAATCTGAAATCCACATTATCAGTGAACTCGTGGCTATCATTTGATTATTCCTTGAGCTCTGAAAAGAGAACGAAAAGGGTGAAAAACAAATCCTGGAGTATGAACACCCACTTATATGTAGATATAGACAGTCACATAGTAATCAAAAGTCACATAGTAATTAAAATTGTTCATAGAATCAGTGAAATTTTCTCGGGAACACATAGATTTACATATATCATCAATCTATAATTCAATATACTTGATATGAATAAGTTTATGCATATCTATATGCAATTTTGAGGTTGGGAAACCTAACGGATATTGCATGAACATCAGAACATGTATTTAGTCCATCTGAAGATGATATTAATTTCATCATTTAGAAATTCCAAGGAAATTCAACAAAACACAACATAACCACATCAAAATAATTTCATTTGGTATGTTTGCATTTAAGTTCAGCCAAGTTACTAAAAACAAAATAGTCAAGCCATTGTGCAAAATAAGAGTTCTCAAATGAAATTTAATGTCCCTATGATATGGATGTTTTAAAAGTAACAATATATTTATAAAAATTATGAGAATCAATGTAGCTAATGTAGTAATTGTAAAAAAACAATCGAATTTGATAGTAAAATAGAGTAAGAATGAGTTCACCCTCGGGTGTCAAATCCAGACCAAGCTATCTTTGACAAATTCCTAAGGAGCTTAGGAATAGGTTCATAAAAATTGATGATAACAAATTCATGTGTGCTATCAAGTTTATGTAAATACAATGTCACCTTCAGTCTTTTTAATAAAATTGCTAGTTAAACATAATTTAGTACCTGATATTCCTCAGTTCAGCTTTAAAGGTGCTTGGTGCCCCTATAAATAATGTGAAAAAATACATTATGTCATGATGATTTGTATACATGATATCATGATGAATTGTATACATAATGGATGTGGCTGATTCAAAAAACTAATGCCTAATGGATACCTCAAAAATAGCAGTAGTGGCGAATTTCACAATACAAGGGTGATTATATAAGTTATGTGTTTCATTCTATATATAGACCATATGTTGGTATCAAATTAAGAAAACTATCAGAAAATCACATACTTGAACTCTGCAAACATTCTCTGGTGGCAGCGGAAACAAAAACTCACATAAGAACATAACCAAACGTAAAGGCAAACCCAAAGAATAACTTTCAAGTGTATCTAATTTTGGGTGCTCACAAGGCCTATCAAAATGAAATAAAATTTCTTCCTCTTTTATTGGGACCTTCTGATTATAGTGATAATTACTACTTACTAGGGCCTGCTAATGGAAAATTACTACTGCTGCTACAGACAGCGATCACCATCACCGCCAACACTGCTGCATTTCGGACAACTTCATAAAAAGGATTTCGACTTTGGCGAGAATTTCTCTTTTCAGAAGGGAAAGGGTTTGTGTAAGTGGTAGTAGTTAAAGCGCTAATCTAGAGACCATCATGTACTCTGAAGCAACCTGCCACAATTAATTTGAAGCAGCATGCCATAATTTAAAGTGAAACCATCACCTTTTTGCTGACACTTCAATGTTATCCATGTGAAGACTATATGACTTACAATCACTGACCATGTGCAAATTTCTGAAGCCTCAAAGTTCGGGCCACAAACGTGGTACTGATCAAAAATTTTGCAGTAAATAAAAGCAGTATTGGTTGCATTCATATCTAGATGGAAACTGAAAACATTTAAAATTGTTACTGGAGTAAATCAAAGCAGTACTGGCTGCATACATATTTAAAAGCAGTAAGTACCGGAGTAAAAACTTAACTCATTTAATGTGCACAAATGATAATAATTTAGTAATTTACTAGATGCACAAATGATTTTACCCAATGGCAATCATACTGGCAGCTGAAAATTGAAACATGTCTATGCTTGAGAAGAAGTCTGAGAACGTTCCTGAGTCACATTTGCATCTGTAGAAGAAATATAAAGATGCATTAGATTAATATTAAAATTTATCATTTAAATCTAAACTTAATGCAATAAAAAAGCTTTACTCTTTTCAATTTCTTCAATCTCTTTATACAACTCAAGGTCATCATCTGTTGGATCCTTATAAAAGCTGAAATCCTCTGCTCTTAACCAATCATTCGTACAAACCAAAGCTTCAACCATTTTAGGGCTTAAACTGCTTCTAAAGGGATCGACAACCCTTTTTCCTAAACTGAAAGCTTGTTTCTTGGGTCCAAAATATTGCTAAGGAAAATTAAAGGATTCATAGCATTCCATTCGCCCCAATACTTTTGAAACTTCAACATCATTGCACTAGCCACCTCCTTGAGAATTGGGTCAGAATCATTTTTCTTTTTTTGTATCTCAATTTGTAGTGCAATCATGGATTGATAAAGCAATTGGGAGGTAGGAGTTTTTGATGCACTTAACTCTAATGTGACATCATAAAACTTTTTTAAAAAGTGCACAAAAGCTTTAGCATTCTAACAATTTTCATGACTTGGAGGCCCTACTCGTACTTTACCCTTGTCATTTTTTTCACGAAAGTACTTCATAAATGGTAACCACTCTTCAGCCATCTTTTCAAACACTCTCCTAAACTTCAATGCAACTTCAAGCATTTTATATGTCGCATTCCACCTTGTTTTTATATCCATAGGCATAGTTGATGTATTAGAAAACTTTGCTAGTACGGCAAACTCTCTAAATTTATGCAACCTGGATGGTGAAGAATGAATGAAAAGAACCGCATTCTTTATAGATTCAATTGAAGCATTGAGTTCTTTGAGACCATCCTTAACAATCAAATTGATTATATGACATCCACACCTTAAATGCAAGTACTTTCCTTCAAACATCAATGTATTTTCAATTTTCATTCTCTTTTTCAAGTAGTCAATAGCTGTATCATTAAAAGTAGCATTGTCAACTACTATCGAAAATACTTTTTCAATCCTCCACTCTCTCAGACACACCTCAACCACCTTACCAATATCTTCCTCAACTACTAGTATGTGTACAAGAAATAAAACCCTTCGGCCCAATACAAATATATACAGCCCAAAGCTATCTAATACTTCCCGATCGAATTTTGAGCTGAAATTTGGTATGGACAAACTAGACTTGATGAGGAACATGCTCAAAAAATTTCATCAAAAAATTCCATCGGGAAGACCCTCTAATGGGCTTGTCCGCACGGAGCTTCTCTTCAGGAGCTCCTGATAGGAACGAGACTCTGTATATGTATATGTATATGTATATGTATATGTATATGTATATGTATATGTATATGTATATGTATATGTATATGTATATGTATATGTATATGTATATGTATATGTATATGTATATGTATATGTATATGTATATGTATATGTAGAGTCCCGTTCGAGTGAGGCCGGCTTGACCGGAAGGCCTGTGCGACCTTCCCTTTTTGGGTGCCTTCCCGGTAGATTTTTTTGATGAAATTTTTTGAACATGTTTCTAATCAAGTCTAGTTTATCCATACCAAATTTCAGCTCAAAATTCGACCGGGAAGGCAGTCAAATAAATTCTTGAAACATACTGCACTTTATATATGCGCAGAATGCTCAATATATAAAGACATAAAAATTAGAATTATATAAAAACATATACAAATCTAAAAGTTCTTATTGTTGTATTTTTCTCCTTTACACTTTTGTTGCAACAAGTGTTATTTTATATCTAGAAGAATTGTTAAATGCATATTACTTTACTACATTTTGACATTTTTTGCAATACATGCTATATATTTTGCCCCCCGAATGTCGTTGCCAGATCTGCCACTGCATGTTTGCAAATGGGTTCCCAACGATATATAGTATCCTCCGTTTTTTTAATCGCAACATGTTGAATTTTATATTATTCACGTGTTCTACTTTGACTACATTTTATGCTATTATTTTGTGAGAACTATTTTAAAAAAAATATTATTCAATTCATCTCATTACAAATTTTCAAAACCTGATTTTTATTTTTATTACTAATAGAGATTAAGATATAATTACGGTCGAAGACATGTGTTGGCAAGTGTGAAATGTTGACCGTTGCAACTAAAAAAGAACGGGACTAGGTATATATAATGGATGTTTCTAATCAGTGATAGAATAATAGAACTCTCTTATTTATTTATTTATTTTT